ATGGTTGGTTAACATTTTCGATACAAGTTTCAGGACTATTATTTTTATTTTTCAGCTTTGAGGCCACGAGTTTAACGACAAATCCTCAGTGGTACTGATAATATCAGCTAAACGTATTCTTCGCTGTTGAAGGTTTGCTCCTAAATTGAAAATTCTCCCATTGCGCTGATAAAACTTTTTAGCGAACTATTTTCTGTGAAACTCAGCTGCCAGTTAAACCTCTCATCCAGTAGATAATATATCTTATTAGACGTTTTGTTGTGTAGTATCGCTGAGTATTTTTACTCGTTATTTGTATTTTGACTCGCCCTACGGGCTCCTCAAAATACGACACAACTCGTAAAAATACTCAGCGATACTACACAACAAAACGTCTAATAAGATATATTATCTACTGGATGAGAGGTTTAACTGGCAGCTGAGTTTCACAGAAAATAGTTCGCTAAAAAGTTTTATCAGCGCAATGGGAGAATTTTCAATTTAGGAGCAAACCTTCAACAGCGAAGAATACGTTTAGCTGATATTATCAGTACCACTGAGGATTTGTCGTTAAACTCGTGGCCTCAAAGCTGAAAAATAAAAATAATAGTCCTGAAACTTGTATCGAAAATGTTAACCAACCATACTGTCCAAGAATACCGTCGCCATTCGCAAGCCTGAGAATGCACGTCTGTAAACCCATGAGGCGTCATTAGTAAGTAAACATTACTAGTTACTGTGTTATCATTGCAGCAAATGGCCAAAGTGTTAGTAGCCTTGTTACGGTTCAGCCCCAAACAGCAAAAGGAAATTTTGCGTAAAGTTGACGAACAAGCAAATCAGGTGAGTTTTCAGAGGAAAAGAACATCTACACTGCATTATTTCTTTTCGCTTGTTTGTCTTTCTGGTTCACCTTTATGTAGGCGAATGATGTGCTTTCAAGGCTTATTCGCTAAGAAACGATACCAGATTTATCTCAGATGTCCAAACCCATCCTCACCTCCACCTCTTCCTCCGCGCAATTGGTTTTTTTTTATTATTTTTCCGCGACAAACGGCTAAAAAAAAGGGACAAAGGGGTTTATTTTTCCTGGTTCAGTTTATGTAAAAATGTTTCAAAGCGCGTGACCAAGAAAACCAGTCGAAATCCTTGGCGAAGATTCATTCCAATCCTATTTAAAAATATCATAAATTATAACTGGCTCTCGTCTCACGAGAATTAGTGACAATACTTAAATAACACTAAACCAGCACTGTTTACGCAATTTTAAAATATCAAGCTGCAAAGCAGAAATTGTGAAAGAAAAGAACAGATACTATGTTGGTGAGCAAAAGTACACATGTAGTTTTATTTGTAATTTACTTTGAAATTATAGCTTTTACTCTATATAGTGGTGCAGTGTTTGTGAATTTCAAAATGTAACAAGGTGTTAGAGTCGTTCTCTAAATACGTGTCGCCTTAAACTCAAATTGTCAAGTTCTTATCGAGCATATAATTATTTTCTCCAGTGAATGTAGAATTGGCGCAAACCGCAGGAAGTTTGCATCTGGTGCATTTTTTAATTCGATAAATGAAGATTACTACCACTACAACAGAAAACGTTTTCTTGCAGTCCTAGTCTTTAAGCTTGTAACTACCAGATTTTTAAACATTTAAATTCAAAACTTTTACATTTTAATTGTAGTTTGCAACAACCACCACAAACTCTAACCATCCGATTTTTATGTAATGTTTAAGTTTTCAATTGGTATTAAATTGCTTAATTCATGATGCTACTGAATATCCCTCATGGGAATGTGTCAACAAAATACGTAGTTTATAGTTTTCGTTTATGTCAGCTATAACTTCTATGTCCGAATTAAACCATTACTTTAAGCGATCTTAAAATTTAAGGCAAATAACATGGCCTTTCGTGTCTTAATTTTTTTTTTTTTTCCAATTAAGATTCATTTACCAAAACTTGCAACAATACTAATACCCTAAAATGCTGCTGGAAGCTCAGTAGTTGTAAGAGAAAACTGTGAACAATCAGAAAATCGCATTATGTTACGAAGTAACCTATCCATTTGCTGAAGGCTGCTTAAACACTTTTAATTCCGGTTTTGAAATTGTAAGTTATTACTTAAATTTTAAACAAAAGAACCGTCTATGGACCATGTGTTTCGTGAGCGTGAACGACAAGTCCCATATTGTGCTTTGGAGGCATACTCGTGGGCCCCGTCTTTGTGGATGTAGCAAGTGTGTCACACAATGTACGTCACTTAACCAGACTTCATGTCACGTACGTTAGTTGACTTATTGTTTTGCCCTTTCCAGAGTGGCTTCCTATCGCCGTTTAGGGCGTGACGTTCAGTCTTGTCACGCAACAACATCAAGATGCCTTCGAGTAAGCATCATTAAATGTACACATGATGTCTGAACTTGTATAGAACAGCATGTCGATCATTTATTTGTTTTTCTCGCTATGATAATCTTCATTTATTTTTATCCGCCTTTTCTGTAGTAAGATAGAGTTTGCAAAGTAAACATTTGGCTATTTCTCCTAAGTCATGTATATTTAGTTTTCATCTGGTTTATGCAAGAGTTATTGTGCGATTGAGTTCTTGCAAGACAAATCTTCTATGAATCGTATTAAGATGTACGTCTACTCGCTTGTGATAACAATTGAACATTATATTATGGGCCTTCTACCTATCCCCCATATTTAATTGAGCCAGTAGTTTTCGGTATCAGCGTTGCTGGTCACGTCATGCGACTACATCATGACAATTTTTTTGGTTTGTATATGGCTCCGCTTTTTCCAAGCAATATATGTTCGAGAAAGTAGTCTGAACTGGAATCTTCCTTTTCTAAATCTGATTGATTGATTTATGAGTGTGCTTGTTTTATGGAATGAGTGGTATGCAAGATGGTTTTCAGTTGTCTGTTTGACATCACTGCAAAATGGGAACTCCCTTTTGATTTTGTTCTTCTTTTGTTTACTTTTCAGGTGAAAGCAAAGTCGTCGTGGTATTGACGATGGCGAAGTAGTTAACCAGTTTTACGGATATTTTAGGTTAAATTATATTTTGAAAAAAGTATTGTTTTCTAGTTATATGATCATCAACCGAGAATCTTTTTAGTTTTGACCACTGATTAGGCCTTTCTTTAAAACTGCGACCGAAATCCAAAATTTATCATCCGAAAACACATTCCCACCGCCATAACAATGCTCGCGATTGTGAATTTTCAAATTTTCATTTCCGTGTCAATCAAATCATTGGGCAAATGATTTGATTGGTACGGTTTTAAATGCTTTTGTATGACAGGGGATGTAGTATATTCTTCAGTTTTAGATTTAACATCTCGGTTGATTTAAAAAATGTTATTAAATGGACTCTGATTACTGAATTAAGGGTGCTTACTTTGAACTTTTGCCAATTTCCAGAGCAGGTTAATATTGCGTAGTATTGATATTAGCCGCTAATTTTGAGGTCTCTTCATTCACACCAAATTAACATTATGTTTTGGACCTACAACTCTCCTTTTCTTCCCTTGGTTATTCTTTGTAACGAACAAACATGGTTTCAATTAAGCCACACTGGTATTTTAAAGACTTACAAGATTCTGTGGTCATAGTTATGTAAATGATTGTAGTAAATTAAATTATGTTAATGGTAGATAATAATTTTATTTAACACGGAACTCACGATATCTCCTATTTACCAAACTTGCTAGTGCAGGTACCTTCAAAATTTTAAAAAAATTCCCTTTTTCTCTTTTTCTTCTTGTCATGTTGGTTAGTGACATTGTTATGACAAGAGTGTACTGGCTGATTAATTCATAGACATTATTTTAGCCGAAATTCTGCAAACGTAATGACTTTCTGAGTGATTCCAAGAGCTGACTCCTCAGTCCTCCAAGTTTCTGGAATGAAGAGTTATACATTGCATTCTATATCTTCAAGAAATATGTCTATGACATCGGTGAACTCAAACATTTTTTCTTACTTTTGAAGTGTGTTCTTTGTACATACGACATGTTTCGCCCAATTGCTCGTCGGTTGTTTTGATAAGTTGATAAATGGGTGATCAGAACCTCTCCGTATTTCTCCATGCCGAAGTACACTGCCCTCGCCAGAACCTCTCCGTATTTCTCCATGCCGAGGTACACTGCCCTCGCCAGACCCTTTTTTTAAGGCAGAAAATGGAAGAATGTCTTTAACGTCCTTGGTTTGCATTCCGTAACAAGATACATTAACTGTTGGAGATTGCGTAGTGTCTTGTCACACACGCACTCCAATAGAGTCGTTTTATTCCTTCAACTCCCGACCCAATGACTGATACGTGTAACAATTGTTCTTTTAGTAGGGGGTGGGGGTGAAAAGGGAGGAGTTATCAAGACCCTCTGACATCTTTGAAAATCTTTCTCATCATGAATTAGCAGAATTACTTCTAGGGTAATTTTCGGTTTCCTACTCTGACTGCCTTATTTTTATCCCGTGGCACTTTAACTGTTAAGGATAATGGGTCTTAATAAAGTAAAGAATCCCTTCTATTGCTTGTTTGGTTGGTTGTTATTGCTTTCTTTTTATTTATCTTTTTATTTCTTTTGCGTCCATTCATCCTCTATTATCTTATTTTGATCAGACTGAGTCTGTGTTTGGTACAGACCTGGCAAAATCTATTTATATGAGCCTTTTTTAAGCAATAGGGGCATCTGAAAGTAAGAACAGTCGGACCACAAGACTTAAGCACATGATAAATGCAGCTATGTATGCGGATGTTCCCTTGGTGATCTCGTTTCTATACAATTTTTCACGACAATTTTTAAAGACATCAGAATCATGTGTCCTCAACATCCTTTAGTTACTGACGTCAGTTTCGAAAATGTTTGACCTGCGAGAATTTTCACACGCTATTATTCAACGAAACAAACTACAACGTACAAGCCTACCATTTTATTTTACGCAAAATCATGAGGTCGTCCACACTGATTTCAGTAGCATCAGCTTCAAAACAGTTAAGGGGAAAATAGCCAAGTGAAAAGATAAACGTATCTTGTCTTAATTGGGTTGATTTAAGATCTGTGTTAGTTATCTCTCCTATAAATCTCTATTTCAAATGATTTACGCCCCGTCTACACGCGCAATTTTAATATGGCAATTTTTATGTGGCAATTTTTATTTGCCCATGTAGATGATGAAAAATGACCAATTTTTGTGACAACTGCATTTGCTGAAAAGCTGGCGTATTAATGTTTAAGTGGCAAATAAAAATTGCCACATAAAAAAATTGTCCGTGTAGATGAGACGCCACATAAAATGTGACAAACGCGCCTAAAGCTACAACACGTCTAGCACGTCTTCTAACTTTCCCCATCTTGCTTTTTTCCTTTCCATGAGCATCTCCGCTGTGCAAGATTGTTACTGACGCAAATTAACAATAAATATTTGTCGCGCTATCTACACGGGCAAATAAAAGTTGCCACAAACAGTTGCCACATAAAAATTGCTCGTGTAGACGGGGCTTTACACAGTAAAATCCAAGGGGTTTATTTTACCAAGGTGCGCACGCCTATAAGACGTATTCGACTCGAATAAAACTTGTCAGCACTGCTTTCACTTTGTTCTTCGTTTCTAGAGTCCTCCTTCCCTAACACCTTCTTCGGCCTTCTGGCGTTTCTGGCTGCTTATTGAGCTTACTTTAGCTACTCTTAGCATAATATTAACAGTGTTAGTTCTTTTTTTCTCTCTTTTTAATTTATTGTCAGTTTTCAACAGAGGACGGTGCTCCTCCATTGGCCCCGCTAGAAGGCAGTTCAGACAACTGCAACTCGTTCTTCTGCTCATAGATGTTTCCATTTCTGGAGTTCTTTTCAACTGCTGCCTCAAACGGCGTTTTAGCTCTCATCCGGCCACTTGGCTCAAAGTTTTTGTTGTCGTCCTCCTCCTCATCAACATAATGTGGTGGGTAGGATCTCCCATTCTCCTGGGAGGTAGAGCTATGCGCAGTTCCCTGCCGCAGTTTCCCTTCTTTATCCTTGTAATAAACGTCACCATTACGGTACGTTATTTTGCTGTTTCGTCTGTAGGGCTTGTTTGAAAGAGAGTCATCTGTTTCTAGACCATATCTACGTAGCGAATTAAGATCAAAAGGTGAACATCATACGAACGAACTTTCGCTTTTGTTCACGAATAAAACCACAGTCCTCTCAGAAAGAGGTATGACAGAGTAAAAAGAGTAAATTTACCTTCCAGAGGGTTTGGGTCTCTTTACCACGAAACACACCACAATGATGACCACTATCAGAAGAAGGAATGCTGCAACGATGACAGTCCACCACATGGTCTTGAAAAATCCCGCTGAAGATAAAAATTGGACAAATTAATGTCAGCCGAGAGATTCTCTACTTTGTGTTTGCTAAAAATCAAGATTACTTTAAGGTGGACGAAGGTAGATGTTGGGTGACGTTTTAAACAATGTTCAAAGAACTACTGCAATTAAAATAAAGCCGGGGGGAGGAATATATTTGTTGGAAAGCTAAAGCATCCTTGGGACTTCTCAGGGAGCACTAAGCAAAAGGCAAAATCCAAATTCATTCGGTACTTCATGTAACTGGCCCTCAAAAGATGACCAGAGCACTGGGTGGTCGTCAAAAAATTCTCTAGCCTTTTAAGACTGCATATATATACACATACTTATGCGAGAGGATGGACTTTTTCTATGTCTTCATTAATTTTAGGGTGCTAGTTATGAGTGCACAACTTACAGACAATTACTAAGGTCTGTCCTGTACTAGTTTTTTTTTAAGTAAAAGGTCTTTTTTCGCCATCACTTGTAACTGTTAAATCGGACTTGGGTAGCCAAACCTAAACCCTTAAATTCACAAAAGAAACCAACTATTATACCTTCACACTTTCGACCATCCCCATCGTAGCCATCATTGCATTTACAGTCAAATGACCCTTCCGTGTTCACGCAACTTGAATGTTGGCCGCAGTCATCCCTGTGATCTGCACACTCGTCAAAATCTTGAAGAAGTTAGATTTAAATTTAGTCAACCAAAACAGTAAATTGCATGTCTTCAGTTGTATTACCGCTTAACAACTCTACTGAAGTATTAGTATTCTTTGGTCGACATAATAATCTAAAAAAAAATTTTATCCTCTTCAAATAAGATCCTACTAACCTGAACAAGAATGTTGACATTTTGAAATTTAAGTTCCCAGACAACAAAAGATAACAAACCTAGCTGGCAAGACGCGGTCCTCGGGCGATTTATGAAGATTTAATTATTCATGTGTAAAGATATATTTCTCCAAGAAGTCCAGAATCAATTATCACTGTAAAAACCGTTACTTTACCTTCAATTTCAGGATTTTTGACTTCCAAGGTGCCGAGATTTGAATTATTGAATCGTGATGCCAGAGCATCTTGTAAATCCTGCAACGACCCAGGAAACTCTGGACTTGTAAAGATCAGAAAGTCGACGATGACACTACCACTCCTACAAGAATGTAGGTGAAGGAAAAAGTGATTAGAAATGCGGCCTTTAGATCGAAAATCAGTGAAACGAGCTAAACGAGAAAAACTGCGATTGATTGGGTCCGCTAATGAATACATGGCCCTCATGCATAACAGTTGCCTTCTTTGCAGTTTCTTTAATCATTAAGCAACTAGGATCGTCGCTGCTATATAGGAAGAACGCCTGTCCACTTTAGGAGCTATCCCCAGTATTCCCTGCCTAGTTTCCCTGACTGTTCTCTGGATAAGGAGGGATATAACATAAAAGAGTTTAACCTCATATCCATGAGGACAATACAGTGACTAGGTCCTCGCTCATAGCTACATTGCATATCGAAGCAGGAGTCTAAGAAAGGTAATGTAATAAGGATTGATATGACTCCATTTCCTACAGCTCATGCACGGGCGGATCCAGTAATTTCTGAAAGGTGAGGATGTACAGTTTTGAAGTAACTTTCAAAACCAGTGGTGCGGAGGGAGAGTGACAGCCCCATGCCTCTAGCGCCAGCTCTTAAGGGGGTCCGTTGAAGGTGAAACAACTTCGTAAAAAAAAACAATTTCATTGATTATTCTAGGAAGAATCAAACACAACAACAAGAAACAAATACTGCTCAAAGAAGGGGGGGGAGAGGCTGCAACCGCCTCAACCCCTCCCCTGGATCCGCGTATGGCTCATGGCGCTTTACAACACTTAACAGGGGACTTTAGCCTGACTGCCGTGAGCAGTTTACAATTTTTTTGAAGGACATTTTTGCAGATGCCCCAAATTTCAGAATCAATGCCAGACCACAATATCTGGAGCTATGATTCCTACTCTTTGCGATAAGTGTGTGGGTTCTTTAACGTCCCCTACTAAACAGTACATGGGAAATTTTAACTCTAAATTTTTCCCTATGATGTGATACCTGAAGTTGTTGACTCTACAGCCGTAGTAGTATTGGTTCAATGATGTTTTCTTAAATTCTTGGTTCACCTGAAATAAAGACAAGCAAATATTTTCACAAGAACTAGGCACTGTGTGAAATACTATTGACCACAATATTTTCACAAGAACTAGGCACTGTGTTGCTATTGCAACATGAAGCATTCTCCATGACGTCG